GACTCCAGGATCATGACCTGAGCTGAAGGCAGTCACTTAACCAACTGAGCCACCCAGGCGCCCTCGATCTGACAGTCTTTAACATGCGTTGAGATCTCAGCTGCCGAGGACATGGCCAGTGTTTGTGGCTAACTAACAACTGTTATATATTAGGACTTAGGTGTCAGGCACTGTGCTAGAGGCCACAGAGCCAAACATGACAAGACATTCCCTTGATACTGTGTGCCCGTGGGTGACAAATGTGCAAATGCAGAATAATGAATAATGAGAGAATTACTTTAATGGAATCATGTCCATTAAGAGGTTCCAACTCGACCGCATGCTCTCCCCGGATCCCTCCACATACCCCGACCCATAACTGAGAAAGGATCCCTAGTCGTGTTCCAGTGTTGTCCAGATCAGTGGGTGGCACCCTCTCCGCGGGATGACATGAGTCCACGTGCTGCACACATCTGTGCGCTACTTCCTTCAGCACCGACTCTATCTGGATACCTCCCAAGTACCTCTGGCGTCCCTCTGCTGTTCCTGGCTCTGTTCAAACCACAGCCAAGCCACTATTATCTGCCAGATGACTGGCACATCCATGGTTTTCTGGCTTATGCACTCCTGGCGTGCATCCATACATGTGCACTTTATTTTTTATTTTTTTATTTTTTTAAGATTTTATTTATTTGCGAGAGAGAATGAGAGACGGAGAGCATGAGAGGGAGGAGGGTCAGAGGGAGAAGCAGACTCCCCGCCGAGCAGGGAGCCCGATGCGGGACTCGATCCCGGGACTCCAGGATCATGACCTGAGCTGAAGGCAGTCGCTTAACCAACTGAGCCACCCAGGCGCCCCCATACATGTGCACTTTAAACACACACATACTTTGCTGTTGCTTTTAAGTTAAAGATTAAAATCCTTACTAAGGTCCCTGCCTACCTCTGCAGCCTTATCTTGGAGCAGATGCTATACCCCCTGCTTGCCTTGAGGCCTCCTCTGCCTGGACCAGCTGCTCTGACATTCCCTCACCACCTGACACAGTTCAGCCCAGGTACTCCTTCCTCAGGGAAACCTTCCTAACTGTGTCTAATCTTTGTGCATTTTCTAAGAAGCACCATTTACTATTTTAGCACTTACTGAAGATGTAACTTTACATTTATATTTGTGATTCTTTGGCTATGCTCCAAGAAGGCAAGAGTCTTGCCTTCTGTCTTGTTTTTGCTTACTACAGTATTTCTAGCACATGGAACTGGACACGGCTAATAGCGGGCCTTAAGTAAATATTTGTTGACTGAGTAACTAATGTCCATACAACATATAGTAGGAACCGAGGCCTATTTATTTTCCAGGGGAGTCTGGAAGGAGTCAGAGGAGAGGTAGTGTTTGAGCTGAGGCAGTGGGTGGGCGTTCCAGGCAGGTGGGCTAGCATTTGCAATGCCCTGAACTTGGGAGAGCATATTGTGTCTAGAGAACTGAAGTAGTGCTGATTTCTGGAATATGAATTGTGGGTGGAAAGTGGAAGGAGATGAGACTTCAACAGTAAGGCAGGAAAATGATCAATATTTTCTACAAAAGCATTTAGATGTTACCTCATTGTTTTTCCATTTGTGAGTTGCACCCTTTTAGTAGGGACTGAAATTGATTGGTAAGTGAAGACTAGCACTTTTTTTTTTTTTTAAGATTTTGTTTATTTATTTGACAGACACAGCAAGAGAGGGAACACAAGCAGGGGAGTGGGAGAGGGAGAAGCAGGCTTCCCGCCGAGCAGGGAACCCAAGGGGGGGCTCGATCCCAGGACCTTGGGATCATGACCCGAGCCGAAGGCAGACGCTTAATGACTGAGCCACCCAGGCGACCCGAAGAAAAAAGTAAAATACACTAGAATGGAAAATAGGTTGCATTGTAAATAGTAAGACTAGGTTGACTTAGTGCAACTTTTATTTCTGATGCGTATATGTGTGTGTGTGCAGGCATGTTATGTACGTATGTATGTGTGTACTGGCTTAGAACGTAAAGTGCATTTTACCATGGGTTAGAGTAAAAATGTGTTTGAATGGGGCTGTGGGAGGTGTTGCAGAGCCAAGGAATAATTTCAGCCAGAGTGACATGATCAGATGTTGTTGTTAGGTAACTGTTAGTGTGGGTTGCAGACTAGATGGGAGGAATAGGAACGTGGTTAAGTTGGTTGCAGTACTGTAAGTGAGCGGGGGAGGTGTCCAACAGGGCAGTGGCTGGTGCACTGGGTGGCCGGCGGTGCGGGGTGGGGGGGAAGCGGGAGGCGGACCATTTATTCAGGAGGTGAGACTGCTGGGATTTCCTGAGTAGGCGTGTTGGTGGGGAGATGAGGATGACCCCCCCAGGTGGCTGGCCCTGGCCACAGGGTGTATGGGGATGCCACTTCAGTAGAACTACTTATTTAAGTACACCTTTTTCCGAATTACCCCTTGGTCATCATAATTTATTTATTTATTTATTTATTTCAGTTTTAGGAGGAAAGCTTCTGAGGTAGTCTATTTGGAGATGTTACAAATCAGAATAGGTGTTCGTCTCACTGGAGAATGTCCTCACGGGGAAGAGCCGTGCGGGCTCCCTGTCCCCTGCCCCAGCCTGGATGAGGGGCTGTTCTGTGGACTCTTCTGTGTCCTGGCAGGTGCTATTGGCTATGGAAACACATGAAGTCAGTCTTCACTTTATTTCTTCATCGGGTCACTGTTTTTCCTGCTCCTCCTCTCCTTCTGTACCTGTATCCCTCCCCCTCCAAATGACTTGCTCTGCCTTTTTTTTTTTTCAAGCCAGGAAGGATATTTAAATGTTTAAACTGTTATCTCCTCATGGCAGGGTGATAGGGTGCTCTTTACTTTCTTTTTTTTGTTTTTCTTCATTTTCTAAATTTTCCATAATTTATAATAAATATTCCAACTACTTATTTGAATAAAGTTTCTTATTTATACTAAAAATTTCTTTTCTATAATGCATATTACTTAAAACATCTTTTTTCTGACTACAAATGTATACACATTTATTTTAAGCCATGAAAAGGAATACAGCAGTGTAGTAAGTACAATGGGAACATATCTAGTAATCTCACTCCCAACAGAAAATTACTGTTAGTATTTTGGTGCGCTTTATTCTGTGTACATACTGACCCACACAATTATATATAAATATTTATATTTAATTACATTTTATAAATAAAAGTAATTGCCATTCCTTTGTAGTTCTATTAACCTTTTTGTCATTTAGCGAATAGTGTGGAGCCTTTCATGCCAGTCATGTGTAAGTTATAAATCACAACTCCAAACAGAACTGTGTGGAGCCGGGGAAGTGACTTAAATGAGCACAGTGCATTGCCGTGACCTAGAGGTGATGGGTGGGCTTCCGGTAAACTGATGAATATACACCCCTCGTCTAAAGAGGTGGCCAGTACTTAGCTCTAGTTTTTTTTTTTTTTTTCATGTAAGAATGCAGAAATGTAGGCTTATCTTTGTTGCAGTTTTTGATTTTTTAGAAAGATTTTATTTATTTGACAGAGAGAGAGAGAACAAGCAGGGGGAGCGGCAGGGAGAGAGAGAGGGAGAAGCAGACTCCCCGCTGAGCAGGGAGCCCGATGATGCGGGACCTAGGACCCTGGGATCATGACCTGAGCTGAAGGCAGATGGTTAACGACTGAGCCACCCAGGCACCCGCATGTTTTGATTTTTCAAGGGAAGTTAGAGATCTGGAATTGCTTACTTGAATTTTTCCAATTTCAAGTTTGCTACTTGATACAGGTGTACTGGATTCTGTTTAGTCTTTTATTTTCCAGTATATGGCATCTTCTCCTTTATTCTTTCTCATTCACTCATCGTTGAGGTTGATGTGTCTTTTTCTTATAATATGGGCAGACTCCCTCTCAGATTTGAAACTGAACGGTAGATTAGTCTATAAAATGCCTTGTCTGGTACTGTTCTGTTAGATTCTCTCTCTCTCTTTTTTTTAAAATGTTATTTATTTTTGTGCACGTATGCGAGAGAGAACGAGCAGGGGGAGGAACAGAGGGAGAGGATGAAGCAGACTCTCCGCTGAGCAGGGAGCCCGATATGGGACTCAGTCCCAGGACCCTGGGATCGCGACCTGAGCTGACGCTTAACTGTTAGGCAGACGCTTAACTGTTAGGCAGACGCTTAACTGTTAAGCAGACGCTTAACTGACTGAGCCACCCAGGTGCCCCATTCTGTTAGATTCTTTAGCAGTGTCAAGAGTTTCACCCCCAAACATATAGCCAGAGGCTGTTTTCTCTTCTTAAATGTAGGGGAAGGATTCAGAGAAGTGGTAGAAATTGCAGAGGCTAAATGTAGAAGAGAGGCATTTCCTTCACGAGGTGGGACGATTCATACCACCTGTTTGGGGAGGTGATGGTGGGGCAGCCGACCCCCGTCCTTGGGCCCAAGGGCGGCTTCATCTAGTCCATCTGGGGCAGCTTGCAGAAAGGGTCTGGTTCCTATTCGGACACATAGTATAAAGGACTGCATTAACCCCAGCAGACTGTGGAGTGGACTCATTTCTTGTTGCTCGATGGGACTGGCACTGAGAGGTTCTTCCCTTTTCAGATTATTTCATGACTGTGAGGGGAACAAACCAGGAAGAGGCACTATCTAGTGCTTCACTCCTAACCGTTTACTTCCCTGAGCCTCCACTTCCCCCTGTGAGACACGATCGCAGATGCTGCTGGTCATAGAGTTTTTGAGAGGATTGCATTTCACATGAGATGACCATGTGACAGAAACTAGCACAGGGCTCCCTAATGTTGGTTCTCTTTATTATTTTTGTAATGCAAAACTCTTACTGTGTGTCGCATGCAAACGAGCTTCAAGAACACAGGCTCTTCTGGTTGGGGATCGCGCGTATCCACGTATGTGTGGTGCTGGCATAAAGTAGAGCTCGTCACTTGGGGCATTAACGTGCTTTAAGCAGAAACTGATTGTTTTGTTTTGTTTTGTTTATAGTTTTTGACGTGTTTCTGTTTTGGTCTGACTAGGAGGAGCCTGATCTGGTTAGTGCAATTTATGGCCGAGGGATAGCCTATGGAAAGAAGGGACTACATGTGAGTATGGAATAGCTCTGCTTGCCATAGTGCCTACATGACCTGACCCGGACCAGGGTTCCGACAGAACCACTCCCTGTTCATTGAGCTCTGATGGACACGCAGTGGTATCACGCCAGTTCCCAGATGCGAAAATGGAAGGAGAGAATTTACTCACGATCACATGGCTAAGGACAGTGGGGTGGACTGGGAATCTCTACCCAGGGCTTCTGGAAGTCAGTCTCACCACACTTTCTACTCCAAAAGGACAGCCTTTGCCAGCCTAAACTTTATTTGGTGATGAGCTGGACATAGACCAAGGAAAGCATGAGACCTTGACTGAATTCCTAAGAAATATTCATTGGTAAAAGCGGAGTCTAGGTATCCATAGCACAGTAAGACTTAGAATTTGTTTCTTTCACAATTTTTTAAAGATTGAATAGAAGAACCCAAGGATTTTTTTTTTTTTTGGTAAAATTTATTTTTATTTGTTATCATATATTTTCCCCAGATAAGTATATTGTTGTAGCCCTAGTCCCCTTATTTCTCTGGGGAATGCAGAGGGAAGGTTATAATAAATTTATTTTATTTTTAAAAAGATTTTATTTATTTACTTGAGAAAGAGAGAGCACAAGTGGGAGGAGGGGCAGAGGGAGAAGCAGACTCCCTGCTGAGTAGGGAGCCTGATGCAGGACTCGATCCCAGGACCCTGGGTTCATGACCTGAGCCGAAGGTAGACATGTAACTGACTGAGCCACCCAGGTGTCCCGATATAATAAATATATTTTACTCAATGAAGGCACCATGGTATAAAAATGAAGATTTTCCTGAGATTATATAGTAAATAATGAAATAGTTTAAGATTCAGATCTCCGTATTTTCAGTCTAGAACATTATACATGAACTTTTCTGTTGTCTTATTGTATATTAGAAATATTCAAATAAAATGATGATTAAGGGAGAAACATCGCTTTTGTGTCTTTGCCAATTTAAAAAATTGTACTAATCGGGTGCTGGCCTATTGGAGAAATTTATATACTATTTATATACTTCTGAGACATAGAGGACTGAGAACAAGCTCAGATTTGGGGATGACAGAGGTGTTAGGAAGGAAACAGTGTTACGTGAGAGCATCAGTAAATGACAGAGGTTGCCCTGGTGAAGGTCAGAGAGAAGCTTCTTCCTAATTCTCATCTCTAATATTATATCTCAACATGAAATTTGCTTGTATCTTTAATGTATTTTTAATGTAAAAATAACATGCTCATATTTTTAATATAAGAATAACATGCGGATTTTAAAGAGGACTTACCTAGACTTGCTAAGGTGTAGGTTTGTGGGCTTAGGAGTTCTGACTGACACTGACTCGGCCCCTTGCTGTCCCCACACTGCCGCTGGCCAGCATCATTCTGCATGCTGGTGTCCGTCCACATACTCATCCCTCAGAATTCATTGATTTGGTATTTAAATGGGTTAAATTTAGAAAATGTCCTACCATCAGTGGAACTGGTGATATGTAGCCAGGTCTAAGGGGCTGTTGATGGGCAGGTAGACTTGAGTGAGTTAAGTAATTGTAACTTATTTAAACCAGCAGATCTTTTGTAGAGAAGCGAGGTTCATATTTATTTCTAAATACATAGTTACATCATTACTAAATTATTAGTTTTTTCAGAAAAACTGTTCAACCTGGTTTTGAGTAACAGTGTATCTCATACTGAGCTAATGCCTTTTCAAGGACATTAAGAATGCTGAGCTTGCTCTGTTCGAACTGAGCCGAGTAATTACCTTGGAACCAGATCGTCCAGAGGTATTTGAACAGCGAGCAGAAGTGAGTGTGGTTTTCTTTCTCCCTCTGTCATTACTGGACTTTTTTTCCCTATTATCTCATTACTTGTAAATTTTAAAGCTCCCTGATACCTATTGTGTTTTCCTCCATAGGTGCTGAATGCCTTTAAACATGGTTGAAATTACTAGAAAACTGTGGGCTGAGTGATACTCCTGATTTAACGTTTAATAGTAATATTTAGTATTAAAATATGTGGTTATGACATGTACTGCTGTCAGTGTTCATTGAAAAATATATCACATATCATGTTTACTGTATATATTACATACTTTAGCAAAACTCTGACAATATGGTCAAAATGAAATTTATAACCATTAAAAGTATGCGCATATGTGTGTGTGCGCGTGCATGTGTGTGCGCTTATGTATCTGTGAGATGTACTTACCTACATAGAGACGTAGATCATGTAAGGGTGACCACAACCAGTCCTTAAAGGAACTTAGGACTTGTGGAGACAGAGGTAACGTGGTGAAAATCCCAGGTAACATTTGTGTCAGGAGACACTAAGAGCAGGTGCTTCTTCAGGAACAGAAAGGCGTGCCTGGGGGGTTCTGGGGGAGGCTGGCAGGGGCAGGTGTGGGCGTGTCTGCGGAGGCCTCGCGGAACAGGTGCCGCTATAGCCAGTCAGAGCCCATGTCTTGGGGGACAAGGTGGAGAATGGTGTGTGGAGACGCATTCCTTTTAATGTTTTTAAATGAAACGTGTTCATCTTACCGTTCGCATAATATAATAGTAAACTACCCAGATTTCATTTTACTGTTCATTTAACCATATTAAATGGTTTAGAATTTGTTCATGTATTCAATCTGGAGAGAACTTAACTTTTAATCATTTGACATAATGGGATTTCATAGTTCAACTAAAGGAAAATGACTCCCCCTCCCTCTTTTTGGGGGGAGAAAACTTAGAAGTAAAGAAAACACTAAATGTTTTAGTAATTTAAAAGCTGTATTTGTGGTGTTTATATTCTCAAAATTATAGTCTCTAAGGTTATAGTTCAGTTTCTTAAAGGGAATTTTATGTTTTATTGGGAATTTGGGTTTCTGAATAAAAATTTTTCTCATTTAATGATACAGTTCATTATCACTTGTGTATTTTGGATTGCAACCATGAGGGTTAAGTGATTGTAATTTGTTTGTAACTGCACGAGAACCTTGTTGGTATCTAGGGTGAGCATTTGGTGGCCAATTTGGTGGTATCTGCTCTGGGGAGGGGGTGCTGATGCTTTTTCCCTCCATTACTCTGATGTTAAAATGTTATGTTAAAGCAAGAACTTAAGTGTACATAGAAAGGAGGCTTATTTAGCAGCTTTAGAAGATTTGTGTATCTAATAAAAAGCTAGTTGTGTACCCAAAAATGATATTGGTAATCCAAAAAGTAATTTTCGATGATCTTAAATATATATGTGTATATATATATGTATGTATGTATAGTAATATTCCCCTTTTTTGGCCCTATTGGGCAATAATATCACTGCAAACTGATTTTTCTGGCTTATTATAGCATATCATTTATATATGTAAGAAATTATTTAATGAGAGATCTTTCTCTTTCATACTTGCTGAAATAGTCTATATTTAATGAACACAATTTAACCTTTTTTAGTTACTCAGGTCATTATTATTGTGCTGGGGTGTGATGATTCAATTATGTACCTAGGAGTTAATAAACTAGGTAGGGATGTTCTTCCTTCCAAAATATAACCCCGGACCGCTATGCATTTTGAATTCTCAGGTATATATTCCTTAATTCATTTCTTTCCTTTTTCTGAACTGCCATTCTTGCCACTGGTGATGTGCCTGCCTGAGTCCTCTCTCTTTTGCTGGTTTTAAGTTCCTGCAGAGTAGGAAAACACATAGTAGAACCTGATGGAAATGACCTATATCATGAGAACAAAATTAACCCTAATTTCAGGACATTTGCTCAGGGTGAAATGCTTGAGCTTGATTGAATGAGTACTGATACCCATTTTGGATTTTCTTATGTCTTTTGGTGTACTTTTGCATTCTGAACTGTCTTCTGTGTTGTCATTTTCACCTGCACAAGCTCATTGCTGGATCACAAGGACTTTCCAAACAAGCTTGCAGACATAGGTTCTTCTGCTCCGTAGATCGTGACCGATGAGCTGAGAGTTAACACAAAGGGGCTGGAATCTTAGAGATTGTCAGCCAGCACTTACTCCCACAGAGCACATAGCTAAAGGCCATGGAGGACTCTAATCTGTGTCCAACAATTTCTCTATTTTTAATGGTTCAAAGTTATCTTTCAGATTAACTTTGAAATACTGAATTTTGTTTTGAAAGAGGTTGAGAAAAAAAAATGGTCCCATTTCAAGAAAAGCAACATCTGTTGTAACCCAAAACGTGAAACCGTGACAAAGCAATTGATGTGGTTATAGTTCATCAGCCTCCCCCTCAGCTAGACAAAGACTAGCGGCCCCTTTGCCTGTTGACTTTGAACCTCACTATGTAGTATATGGGGTCAGGGATCCTTGTCCACCAAGAAAGTAATCTTGTGAGTGGAGTGTGGTAAAGTGGAATTGAAAAGTCAAAAACGTTGGCAGTTTTGGGGTTGATCACTGGAAGATTTCTACCCTAATTTCATTTTTGGGTTTATAGATTCTGTCCCCTCTGGGACGAATTAATGAAGCAGTGAATGATCTCACCAAAGCTATCCAGCTTCAGCCCTCAGCACGGCTGTACAGACACCGGGGGACCCTGTACTTCATATCAGAGGTGAGTTGTTTTTGCCTGGACACATTCCCTTTTGTTCACTTTTCCGTTTACTTCGGAAAGCTACTATTTGATAGATTTGGTTTGGGGGCTGTATAATAATATGTTTGTGATACAAGACAGTTAAAAAAGCACTTCCTTTAGCTGAAATTGAACCCAGTAGAGAAATGTTAAGTACCAAGAGCACATTTTCTTGCTTGAGCTGTCAGGAGTAACTAATTCTAGACTCGGGGGAAAAAAAGAAAGAGAGAGAGAAGAGAAATTTGGTTCATTGACTATACTTCAGCTTTTTCTGCAAATGTCAGCATAGGGAAATGGGTGTGTGTGTTATCGATGTGATTATTGAACTGATATCACACCCAAGAGCCAGAACCAGAACAAATACAGTTTCTCAGACTGTAGGTTCTCTGTGTAAGTGACCTGGATCTGGCAAGGTTATCGTTTATCATCATAATGATATTTATGGTTGCCACAGTTATTTTTGTGGGTTTACATTATTTTAGTAACAATTTTCTGTTGCCAAAGAAAATAGGTTTGAAAAAATCTCAGCATAACACATTTTAAGGTTGACCTATGGCATAATTATTTGACAAGTATTCAGTGTAATAAGATGCTAGTACCAGAAAATAATTTGTCAAGTTTCTCTAACAGATTATAACTGTACTACTGTTTTTTACAAATAATCTTTTTGTAGTTTTGTAGACAGTCTATTTAAATTAAACCTTTGGGGGTTTTCCCCATCAATTTCCTAAGAAAATCAACTACTTCAACAAAACAGGGTAAGAATTCAGCTGATATTGATAGGTATGAAATGTTCCCTTTAAAGCCAAAAAGGACACAGAATGAATTGGGTTGTTTTTTTTCCCCTCGACCAGTCAGAAGTAAGAAATGTCTGAATGTCTAATGAACACTACTTTTTCTCCCCCTGCTCTCCTTTTTGTAGGACTATGCAACAGCCCACGAAGACTTCCAGCAGTCCTTAGAACTGAACAAAAACCAGCCTATAGCTATGCTATACAAAGGTCTAACTTTCTTTCACAGAGGACTTCTGAAGGTGAAAGTGTTGTGTATTGTGCATACAGTATCATGATTCTGCTTTTCTCTCGCGGGTGGGAGGACCTTAGTGGGGTTTCGTTTGGCGTGTTTTAGAATGACATCTCATCTGATCGGTTTATTTTAGGAAGGAGTTGGAGTCAACATACTTATTGAGTTCCTACTATGCGGGAGGTACTTGGAGGAAGGCGCAGGTGGAGAAAGGATAAAGGCTTAGTGAGAGGGAGAAAGAATCCTTCACACTTGACACTGAGAAAGGATACAGTTTACAAAGTTTTCTTCCACATATAATTTATCGTATGGTAAATACACTAAAAAAAAGTAACATGGACAAAGTGCTTTGGCAACAGAGATAAGAAAGGTTCACTTAAACTGCGGCATTAGAGAAGGTTCCAGAGAGCAAGTGGATCTTGTCCTGGGCCTTGCAGGTGGAGTGGCTTGGGGGCAGCAAGCTACTTCAGGCAGAGAAGAAAAGCATGAGCACTGGTATAGAACATGGAGATAACGACCAGTTTGTGGTGTAGCAAATAGTCGGGTTTGAGCGTAAGGGAGATGAGGTGGCAAGTGGGCCGAGGGGAGGCCCTGAAATGCCTAGAGTGCTATGCTGAGCATCTTGACTTTAATTTGTAGGCCCAGAGGAGCTGCAAACTCTAGATCTGGGGGAAAGTGTGTCACTGAGAGCGAATCTGCCACGTCGGAAGTGGATTCTGACATGCCAGTGACTGGGGAGGTTAGGGGCAGAGGGCCACGGGGAGATGTTGGCAGCGCCCCGGGGTCGGAGCTGGAGACCTGATCGGGCCTCTGGGGCGGCAGGAGCAGGTCTGGAGGCAGCTCTCCGACAGGCAGTGCCACTTGGGCGCCACTATTAGCGGGGAAGGAGTTGAAGGAAACAGGAAAGATGTCGTCCAAGCCAACTGACGTGGGGTGGCAGTGTCACCTCCAGCCTGTCCCTGCCTCCCGCCCTTGGTCCGGCCCCGAGTGTGCTCGGGACCTATTGTGCAGCAGCCTTGCCGTGGGGCAGACACCAGGCTGGGAGCCGAGAGTGGAACTCTGGTCCTCAAGGTGATGTCCTCGGTGCCCATGGCCCGCATAGGGTAGGTGCTCTAGTGCAGGACCTGTCCCTGTCTGGTCGAAAACCGGCCGGCCTGAGAGTCAGCCTCTGCAGGGCGGAAAACACTTCATGCTGACTCGGCGGTCAAGAGAGTCTTCCCAGACAGGTTGTTCTTCACCTGAACTTTGAAAGCTGTGAAGAGTTTCAATAGTGCATGGCAGGGAAGGGTGCTCTGGCTGAAAGAACATGCATTTTATTGTGGAAAGTAGTTATGAGGATTGTGCACACACTCTTGGAGCGTAGGGACAGTTTACCTTCAAAAAGGCCTCTGGTGTAAATCCTCAGTGTTACGGGCAGTGCCTGTCACTAAGTACTAGGGGGAATAAATGAATTTCCAGGACAGAGCCTTGGATTTGGACTCAGAAGGCCTTGGCTTGAGCTTCCGCTCTGGATCCTGCAAACTCGACCACCAGCCAAGTGACTTAAGCTTTTTAGCCCCTCCTTCTCCATCTGTCACGTAGAGATGAGTCTGTTCCTCGCCTCTTGAAGGGGTTGCAAGGATTCAATAAAATAATGTGTGTGAAGGAGCTGTGAGCACGGATCAGGTCTCAGTTATTACAGATTTGGTTACATGTGAACATTTCATTTATTCTCAGTTTCGTGGACTCTAAAAAGATAACTCCCATCCACTAAAACCCAACCCAGAGGGAACTGCAGGTTTCCTTTCATACTGTCCTTCCTGCGAGTATGTGGAAGGTGCTGCGCACAGAGACGCTTCTCGCCCTCCCCGGGGTTCAGACCGGCAGCCGCAGGCGTGGAGAGCGGGTATTTAGAATGTGCTTTGAGCAACTGCAGATGGACTTTTCCATCACTTCTTGGCCTTTTGGCTAAGATCAAGTGCAGCTTATTTTGTATCTGCCCCCTCTTCCTCTCACCTTCTCTCAGTCACCTTAAATTAGAAAATTCAGAATCAATACTAGATTCGAAGTCTATGCCTTGAATATCTCATGGAGGAGAACAAGATTTGAAATGCAAAAAAAAAAAAAAAAAAAACCAACAACCAGTACTGAGAGGTTAAAAAATACTTTTTAAAGTAAACAAATGCAAACAGAGGCTTTCACCGTGGACTCTAAAGCTGGGTTTAGGAATGTGGGCAGGGAGGGCTCTTTGTGTTACTTTGAAATGAGAATTTTTCAGAAAAGAGCTGTAACAGAGATGTTAACTACACATTGGACAAGGGCTGAGATTCAGTTTGGTTTATTCCAAATCCATGTGATGAGAACCTAGACATAGTACTTCCATCCCACGAGCAGTAGAAGCCCCTCAGTGAACCAGTCTTGCCAAATTATTTGGTGCTTTCTCCTCTTCACTGTGCTCATAAATATAGCATCAACGTGTGTAATAGCTGGGAACTTTTTCTTTGCATTTTTATAGATTCGCTGTCCGAGGAGGTCAGAGTGTTTACGTATTGTCTCATTCATCCCAGCGGCATCCCCATGAAGTATAGAAGGAGCAGAGGGTGTCCCAGTTACACAGATTGGAAAACTGAGTCAGTGGTGACATGCCTTCATTAAATTAATGAACTTAGTTTAGATATCTTTATTTCTCTTGTTAACTGTAGAGACAATGTATTAAATGGACCAGTGAACTGGAGCTATCTTTATATCCTAAAGCTGGTCTCTTCGGGTCAAAAGCAATTTAGAAATTAATTAAGTGGGTGGTGTGCTTATTTACTTTATGATGTAATACATTAGAAATTATTTAGGCAATATTATGTGACAAATGTCACAACTGTCCAATCTGGTAGATATAACAGACATTTTGGATTTCCCTAGGGAAAACAGAGTGAAAACTTTTACCTGTGATGTAAGGATATTTCAAGAATTGTATATCCCGAGCACATATTTTTTGATCAGCCTTCACTTTGAGAGTTTCTTGAGACCGTTCTCTTCGTTATAATAAAGGGGAGTGCAAGGGATGGCTGCCCACCATGAGCCAGGACGATGGTGGCATAAAGATGGTGATGGTCCCACTTGCTATGAGGACAAACTCACAGCCAGTTCATGTGCTTAGAGATTGATTCATTCGAACGTAGTGTCTTTGTTCCCAGTGGCTTCAGATCTTGATTCTACTATGTCCCCTCTTTGGCAGAATGAGGTAGAGAGCTGTGCAGTGATTAGACAGGAACCCTGAAACCAAAGACTCTTAAAAGCTGAAGAGAAATCAGACTTTGAAGAACTGTGGCGTCCCAGCATGCTGTAAGTGCAGTGGGCAGCAGATGTCTCCCGGGCATCTCCCCTAGAAGTCCACAAACATCCCAGACTCACCACGCCCCAGCTAGACTCCTGACCTCCTCCCCCCCGCCCCCCCCACCCCCCCCCACCCCCCGCAGCTGTCCCACCTACTTTCTTATGTTGGTTCATGCTCTCACCTTCTACCCAGGCTCTTCAGCTTCGAAGCTTCCTTCCCTCCCTTCTCCTTCATCCCCCATATCCACGGCCAGCAGATTCTTCATTGGCCTTTAAGAATATCTCCTGAGTTTGACCCTCCTTTTCTGTCCTCAGAGACACTGTCTCAGTTTGAGTTTCCATTATCTCTTGCCTGGACCTCTGTAGCCACCTCCTGGTTGGGCTCTGCTCCGTCCCCTGTCCAGCCTGGCTCCTCTGTTGTGGCTCGTGGCAATCATTTCTAAAGAGTCAGTTTTGTGAGGTCCCACACCTGCTCACAGCCCCCAGCCCTCACTGCTGGCAGGGTGATGCCTGGACTGCGGAGCATGGCAGAGGCCCTTCTGCCTCTGGCCCAGCTCTCCACACCAGCCTGGTCCCCGTCTTTTCCCTCTCCCCTGCTCCCACCCATGCACCTGCACTCCTGCTGTCCCGCCTTCCCCACCGCTGCTGAGCACCCTGTCTCTGCGCACCAGCATTCCCCCTGTCCACAATGCCCTCTTTCTTTGCCAAACTCCTCATTCTCCCAGACCCAGCTCAGTTGCCACTTCCTCCATGAAGCATCTCCTGGTGTCCCAGGCTCAGTTAGTTCTTCCTTTCTCTTTATTCCCCAGACTTTTACTTGTATCTCTATCATAGCTCTTAGTTTGTATTCTAATAACTTGGTTAAATAATTGGCTTTCTAACTAGACTGAGTTCTTTGAGGACAGAGAGAATGACTTGCTCATCTTTGTGTCCCCTGCCCCTCACACTGCCCCTGGCACATAGTAGGCGCTCAATACATGTTTGTTGGATTAAAAATATAGTTGTAGTACTCCCAAAAGATTAAGACTATACCAGGGCCAGAAGCCTAATGAGGAGTAGTCTTCAACATTTCTGCAGTATTAAAATTTATCCATTCTCATCCTTCTACCAAACAGAACATGGGACTCCTTAAAGAGCAGGTGGTTGTCCCCATTGTTGCCTTAGAAGAGTTTGAAAGCCAGCTCCTCTGACCCTGCTGCCCCCTACAGAGAAAGTCAAGAAGCAGGGAATGGATGATTTTCTGAAAAGAATTAGGATTATGTGCCTACAAAATCATTAAATATTTATTGAGTGCCTACCATGTGCAAGGCATATGACATCTTTAGTAGTTTTTTTGCTATGAATTATCTAATTAGGTGTGAAATACACAGACATTTTAGTCTTTCTCATTAAAGCCATTAGAGATCATACTTCGTAGCCGCTAACTTAAGACACGTCTTTTCCTTGGAAAATGTGTGAAATGTCTTCATAATTTTTTATCACAGTAAATAGTCAAGTCATAATGGAAAGTACATTGAATACAGTTTAAGATGGGAATGTTTATTGTGAAGCAGAATGGTACATTTTATTAACAGTTTCCAGAGGATTCCACAGTGGCCAGGTGCGCTGTGTGTTCCCTAAGGACTCCTCACCTGTGCCCCCTTCTCCGCTGCTGGCAGAAGCTATGCCCCAAATGCCCCCAACTCAAGGTTTCTGTTTTATTTTGTTTTGCTATTTCTTTTTCCTGTAGATCATGGGAATCCTTCTGATTCCCAGTCAGTCTGGGAGCCCTGTTGCTTTTTTGATGAACAACGTCACACTGGGCTTGCTTTTTTCTCTTGAGTGGTTCAGTTTAAGAGCTGCTAGTTATGGTCATTTAAGATTATACTTTGCAAGCTAGTAAGCTGACTTTTATTCTGCAAGGCCTTTATTAATTAAAGAAATGATGTTGACACGAAGCTGATATCGTTAATAATCAAAGCCGAAATGAAATAGGTAGTGAGGAGCCGTTTTCCCATTCTGAAAGGGAGAAACTTTTACGGCTCTGTTATTATTCATAGCAGTGCATTTGTTTACTGTTGAAATTAAATCCTCCTGACTCATAGTTTGTCATACTCTCTACCTCTCTTTTTTTTAAGTCCTCATATTAAAAAAAATCACTCTGAGACATGTGTAATATATTTTTAAGTCCTTTAGTGATTTAAGTGAAACTCTATTTTAACAGTTATGCAAATGACATAATTTTCTATATACTTTTTTCAGGAAGCTATTGAATCCTTCAAAGAAGCCTTGAAGCAAAAAGTTGATTTTATTGATGCGTATAAAAGTCTGGGACAGGCCTATAGGTAAGAAAAGCAATAGTAGTTGGGGTGGGAGGGAGAGCATACAGTGGGGAGACAAGAGAGCCTCACATAGTAGTGATATTTTAAAAGAAATTACATTCCTTAACCAAAAGAGATTGTCATTCTAAATCACATAGGCATTTATAAGCTATATTCCAGAAGGAATATAGAAAGAATCATGTGTCAGATGATATCATGATATATATTATTACCTCTTTATTACAGAAAGAACCATGTGTCAGATGATATCATGCTACATATTATTACCTCTTTATTACAGCTTTGCTTCATATATATTGGTCTCGAAAATGTTAGTTCTTCAAGGGTTATTGTTTTTTTTTTTTGAACATCTACATGCAATTTTATTATGTTATGTTAGTCACCATGCAATACATCATTGGTTTTTGATGTGGTGATCCACGATCCATTGTTTTCGTATAACACCCAGTGCTCCATGCAGTACATGCCCTCCTTAATACCCATCATGGGGCTAACCAATCCCCCCCGCCCCTCTAAAACCCTGTTTGTTTCTCAGAGTCCATAGTCTCTCATGGTTCATCTCTCCCTCCAATTCCCCCTCCCCATTTTTCCCTTCCTTCTCCTAATGTCCTCCATATTATTCCTTATGTTCCACAAATAAGTGAAACCATATGATAATTGACTTTCTCTGCTTGACTTACTCCACTTAGCATAATCTCCTCCAGTTCCATCCATGTTGATGTAAAAGTTGGGTATTCATCTTTTCTGATGGCTGAGTAATATTCCATTGTATATATGGACCACATCTTCTTTATCCATTCATCTGTTGAAGGGCATCTCGGCTCTTTCCACAGTTTGGCTATTGTGGACATTGCTGCTATGAACATTGGGGTACATACGGCCCTTCTTTTCACTACATCTGTGTCTTTGGGGTAAATACCCCGTAGTGCAATTGCTGGGTCATAGTGTAGCTCTATTTTAAAATTTTTGAGGCACCTCCACACTGTTTTCCAAAGTGGCTGAACCAACTTGCATTCCCACCAATAGTGTAAGAGGGTTCCCCTTTCTCCACAACCTCTCCAACATTTGTTGTTTCTTTCCCTGTCCATTTTGGCCATTCTAACTGGTGTAAGGTGGTATCTCAATGTGGTTTTGATTTGGATTTCCCTGATGGCTAATGATTATGAACATTTTTTCATGTGTCTGTTAGCCATTTGTATGTCTTCTTCAGAGAAGTGTCTGTTCATATCTTCTGCCCACTTTTTGACTTGATTATTTGTTTTCTGGGTATTGAGTTTGAGAAGTTCTTTATAGATCTTGGATACCAGCCCTTTATCTGTAGTTTAATTTGCAAAAATCTCCCATTCTGTGGGTTGCTTCTTTGTTTTGTTGACTGTTTCCTTTGCTGTGCAGAAGCTTTTTATCTTGATGAAGTCCCCAAAGTTCATTCTTGCTTTTGTTTCACTAGCTTTTGGAGATGTCTCTTGAAAGAAGTTGCTGTGGCCGATGTCAAAGAGGTTACTGCCTATGTTCTCCTCTAGGATTTGGATGGATTCCTGTCTCACATGGAGGTCTTTCATCCACTTTGAGTTTATCTTTGTGAATGGTGTTAGAGAATGGTCGAGTTTCATTCTTCTGCATGTGGCTGTCCAATTTTCCCAGCACCATTTATTGAAGAGACTGTCTTTTTTCCATTGCATGTTTTTTCCTGCTTTGTCAAAGATTATTTGACCATGGAGTTGAGGGTCCATATCTGGGTTCTCTATTCTGTTCCATTGGTCTATATGTCTGTTTTTGTGCCAGTACCATGCTGTCTTGGTGATCACAGCTTTGTAATATAGCTTGAAATCGGGCAACGTGATGCCCCCAGCTTTGTTTTTCTTTTTCAACATTTCCTTGGCGATTCGTGGTCTTTTCTGATTCCATACAAATTTTAGGATTGTTTGTTCCAGCACTTTGAAAAATGTCATTGGAATTTTGATTGGGATGGCATTGAAGGTACAGATTGCTCTGGGTAGCATAGACATTTTAACAATGTTTATTCTTCTGATCCATGAGCATGGAATATTTTTCCATCTTTTTGTGTCTTCAATTTCTTTCATGAGTGTTTTGTAGTTTCTAGAGTATAGATCCTTTACCTCTTTGGTTAGGTTTATTCCGAGGTATCTTACGGTGTTTGGTGCTATTGTAAATGGAATCGTTTCTCTAATTTCTCTTCCTACAGTTGCGTTGTTAGTGTATAAGAAAGCAACTGATTTCTGTGCGTTGATTTTGTATCCTGCCACATTACTAAATTGCTGGATGAGTTCTAGTAATTTGGGGGTGGAGTCTTTTGGGTTTTCCACATAAAGTATCATGTCGTCTGCGAAAAGAGAGAATTTGACTTCTTCTCTGACAATTTGAATACCTTTTATTTCTTTTTGTTGTCTGATTGCTGTTGCTAGGACTTCTAGTACTATGTTGAACAATAGTGGTGAGAGTGGGCATCCTTGACGTGTTCCTGATCTTAAGGGAAAGGCTCTCAGCTTTTCCCCATTGAGGATGATACTCGCTGTGGGTTTTTCATAGATGGATTTTATGAACTTGAGGAATGTTCCCTCTATCCCTATTCTCTGGAGAGTTTTAATCAGGAAAGGATGTTGTATTTTGTCAAATGCTTTTTCTGCATCAATTGAGAGGACCATATGGTTCTTCTCCCTCCTCTTATTAATGTGTTCTATCACATTGATTGATTTGCGAACGTTGAACCACCCTTGCATCCCGGGCATAAATCCCACTTGGTCGTGGTGGATGATCCTTTTAATGTATTGTTGGATCCTATTAGCTAGGATTTTGTTGAGGATTTTGGAATCCATATTCATCAGGGATATCGGTCTGAAATTCTCCTTTTTGATGGGGTCTTTGCCTGGTTTGGGGAATAAGGTAATGCTGGCCTCATAGAATGAGTTTGGAAGTTTTCCTTCTGTTTCTATTTTTTGAAACAGCTTCAGTAGAACAGGTATTATTTCTTCTTTGAATGTTTGGTAGAATTCCCCATGGAATCCATCAGGCCCTGGACTCTTGTTTTTTGGGAGGTTTTTGATCACTGCTTCAATCTCGTTACTGGTTATTGGCCTATTCAGATTGTCAGTTTCTTCCTGTTTCAGTCTTGGCAGCTTATAGGTTTCCAGGAAGGCCTCCATTTCATGCAGATTGCTCAGTTTATTGGCATATAGTTGTTGATAATAATTTCTAATAATTGTTTCTATTTCCTTGGTGTTAGTCGTGATCTCTCCCCTTTCATTCATAATTTTATTAATTTGGATCCTTTCTCTTTTCTTTTGGATAAGTCTGGCCAGTGGTTTATCGATCTTATTAATTCTTTCAAAGAACCAACTTCTAGTTTCGTTGATCTGATCTACTGTGTTTCTGGTTTCTAATTCATTGATTTCTGCTCTAATTTTAATTATTTCTCTTCTAATGCGTGGCTTAGGCATCGTTTGTTGCTTTTTCTCTAGTTCTTTAAGGTGTAGAGTTAGTTGGCGAATTCGGGATTTTTCTATTTTTTTGAGTGAGACTTGGATGGCTATGTATTTCCCCCTTAGGACCGCCTTTGCAGTATCCCATAGGTTTTGGACCGATGCGTTTTCATTCTCATTGATTTCCATGAATTGTTTAAGTTCTTCTTTGATTTCCTGGTTGACCCAAACATTCTTGAGCAGAGTGGTCTTTAGCTTCCAAGTGTTTGAATTTCTGCCAAATTTTTTCTTGTGATTGAGTTCCAGTTTTAGAGCATTGTGGTCTGAGAATATGCAGGGAATAATCTCAGGCTTTTGGTCGGTTGAGACCTGATTTGTGACCCAGTATGTGGTCTATTCTGGAGAAAGTTCCATGTGCGCTCGAGAAGAATGAGTATTCTGTTGTTTTAGGGTGGAATGTTCTGTAAATATCTATGAGGTCCATCTGGTCCAATGTACCATTCAAAGCTCTTGTTTCCTTGTTGATTTTCTGCTTAGATGATCTGTCCATTGCTGAGAGTGGAGTATTGAGGTCTCCTACAATTAACATATTGTTATCAATATGACTCTTTATTTTGGTTAACAGTTGGCTTATATAGATGGCTGCTCCCGTGTTGGGGGCATAGATATTTACAATTGTTAGATCTTCTTGTTGGATAGACCCTTTAAGAATGATATAATGTCCTTCTGTGTCTCTTATTACAGACTTTGGTTTAAAATCTAATTTGTCTGATATAAGAATTGCTACCCCAGCTTTCTTTTGAGGTCCGCTGGCATGGAAGATGGATCTCCATCCCTTCACTTTCAGTCTGGATGTATCTTTAGGTTCAAAATGAGTCTCTTGTAGACAGCGTATGGTTGGGTCCTGTCTTTTTATCCAATTTGCAACCCTGTGCCATTTTATGGGAGTGTTTAGGCCATTCATGTTGAGAGTGATTATTGAAAGATATGATTTAATTGTCATCATGTTGCCTGTGAAGATGTTTTTATAGATTGTCCCTGTAAATTTCTGTTGTAGATCACTCTTGGGGTCTTTCTCCTTTTATAGAACCCCCCCTTAATATTTCTTGCAGGGCCGGCTTAGTGGTCACATATTCTTTCAGTTTCTGCTGGTCGTGGAAGCTCTGCATCTCTCCATCCATTCTAAATGACAGCCTTGCCGGATAAAGTATTCTTGGCTGCATGTTCTTCTCATTTAGTACCTTGAATATGTCTTGCCAGGCCTTTCTGGCTTGCCAGGTCTCTGTGGATAGGTCTGATGTTATTCTGATGTTCCTCCCTCTGTAAGTAAGGAATCTCTTCCCCCTAACTGCCCTTAAGGTGGTTTCCTTGGTTCTAAGATTTGCAAGTTTTACTATTACATGCCGGGGTGTTGGCCTGTTTTCCTTGATCTTGGGAGGGGTCCTCTCTGCCTCTAGGACTCGAATGTTTGTTTCATTCCCCGGATTAGGGAAGTTCTCAGCTACAATTTGCTCAAATACATCTTCTAGTCCTCTCTCTCTCTCCACTCCCTCCGGGATTCCAATTATTCTGACATTGGAACGCTTCGTGGTGTCACTTATTTCTCTGATTCTATTTTCATGGATTCTGAGTTGTTTTTCCCTGGCCTCCTCTTTTCCCTTTTTATCTATTATATTGTCTTTCAGGTCGCTTATTCTCTCTTCCGCCTCAGTTACCCTAGCTGTTAGATTATCTAGATTGGATTGGATCTCATTGATAGCATTTTTTTTTTTTAAGATTTTATTTATTTGACAGGGAGAGAGAGAGAGAGAGCACACGCAGGGGGAGCAGCAGAGGGAGAGGGAGAAGCAGGCTCTCAGCTGAGCAGGGAGCCCAATGCGGGGCTCGATCCCAGGACCCTGGGATCATGACCTGAGCTGAAGGCAGACTCCTAACGGACTGAGCCACCCAGGCGCCTCACATTGATAGCATTTTTAAGTTCTGCCAGTTCACCTTTTATTTCTGCCCTTAGAGACTCTGTGTTGCCATTAATTGATTTCTCCATTCTATCCATTGCCTTCACAATTGCTAGCCTGAATTCCATCTCCGACATCTTGGTTATATCTATCCATTTGTAAATCTGCAGCATAAGTAGTAATCTCTGAGTCTTTTCTGTTTTGGGGGCTTCTCCTCCTAGTCATTCTGTTGATGGGTGTTTGAGGGAATGTATAGAGTCCAAATTATTGACCAGAACCCAAGCAAGATGCACCTGTTTTCTTGGGACCTTAGGGTTGCTGGCCTCCTGTTTTACCAGCCTGTCTTCTGCGGGAGGGGCCTGCTGAGCTGTTACTCATGCAGCCCTGTTTGGGCGGAGTTGCCCTGTGCCCCTGTGGTGGGGGATGGGCTCAGCGGGAATCAGTCTTTGGGGCTTTTGTTCCCTGGCGGCTTTCCCTGGCGGCTTTCCACATCTCTTCCGCGAGTCAGAGTAGAAGAGACCGTTTCCAACTCTCTGCCTCAGAGCAGAGAGACCACAGTCTGTTCTTCAGTGAGCTCTCCAGGCCACACTGTCTCTGTTTCTGTCTGTGCTGCTATAAACTGCAGCGTCCTGGGTTGTACGCCCCTCCGCAGCACTCCCAGTCCTGCCTCCAGGTCAGGGCCCGTCTCTGCCCTTTGTGCTTCTAAAACCGCCAGCCGCTCCCAGTTCACGCACGTGCAACCCCATCGCTCCGGGTTTCCGTCTGGGGGCTGCCCTAGAGTCCTTTCCCCGGCGCTACCAGTCTGCGAGTCTGTGCCTGTCCGCAGTGCATGAAGCTGTCGCTCACCGGCGGTGTAGGATCCCCAGGGCCAGGCACCCTTCCGCCGCCGTTTATCCTCTGATATCTGCCTGCGGAATCACGGCTCTCCGCTTTGTACCTCAAAACCAACCGCCTGCGATATTCTGTTTGTAGAGATCCAGATCTTCTTACATCTCAGGCTGGTTTCGTGGGTGCTCAGAGTGGTCTGGTAGATATCCAGCTCAATTCCGGGGACCAGTTGAAATAGGGTCCCCTACTCCTCCGCCATCTTTCCCCCCTCTCCCAAGGGTTATTGTTTTGAATAGTGGCCTTATACACTGTAGAGTCATAGATACTGGTGCTTTTCTAGGTGATAAGTAAGGTTAATTCCCACATTACTGTGATCATTTGAAGATTCCTAGATTAAAGGGATGGAAAATTATGCTGCATCCCTATCATCAGTATAATTGATTTTGATATAGTTATTATGCATCTGTATCAGGAGTGAGAAGTTGTGCCTAGACTCTGGTGTCCTGACTTCATGTGTTACCCTGACCAGTAATAGAGCTTACTCTGACTTTTGGCTTTCAACAATTTTTACACTCTGACCCGAAAAGGAGATTGCATGGCATGAAAGAAGGCGCTCAGCATTCAGGAGTCAGGAGATTTGGTTCTAGTTCTAGATTGCCCATTTCATACTTGTGTGTCCTTAACTTCCCTGAGCTTCAGGGTTCTCACTTGCAAGGTTCTGTGAAAGTTAAAAAAGACACAGTGACCGAGATCCCCTTCAAAACTGTTGGCACCTCACTCGGGAAGGATTGAATTCAAGGGGTTATTTATCTGATGGTGGTAGTTGGAGAAACTCTCTTACACTAACTTGAAGAAAGTGTCTTTGAGTTCGTCTTGGGTTTAAATGATGACCTTTATCCTTGCTGTCCCACAGAATTGTTGGGGACATACATTGAAAACAGATTTGAAAGCACCCAGACTAATTAGTAAAGTGCTATAGAAATATAAGTGAGTGTTGTATTATGTAAAAATATTCATTATTTACAGAAAATTGACACATGGGACACTTTGAAGGTGCTTTTATTATTTGTAAAAATGTAATATGTAAAAGAAGGCTGGCAATAATCATTTCCACTCTGAAATGATCACAACTCTAAAATATACTTTTTAAAAAATTTTTAAATTATGAAATGATTTACGAGATTTTAAGTGAAGTAACTTCTGTGACAGAAATATACAATTTTAAGCCTCTGAATGATGACCCTGTGTATGATTGTAACCTACATAGTTGTTTTTTCCCAAAGAAGAAGTATGGTTTTATCTAAATACTAAAATTTACACAGTTTTTTATGGGTGGAAGCTCATGAATGGGGGAAAAGGATTTGAACAAGCACTTGCCTTTGGAAATCAATAAATTCATTTTCCCTCAAAGACTTTCAAGGGCTTTGTGGTTATCTTATAATCTGGTAAAGTTTAGAAAAAGTAAGTGGGATGTAGCTGAGCTGTAGAATGGTAAAATAGAGAAGAACATCCACATCAAGTTATCTGATTCACATATGGGACTGTAATCTGAGGCTAACTTACTCTGTGTGTCCACTGAAATGTTCTGCACTGTGCTCATAACTGTTGTTAAATACCTAGAGAACTGGGCAATTTCGAAGCTGCCACTGAGAGCTTTCAGAAGGCACTGTTGCTCAACCAAAATCATGTGCAGACCCTGCAGCTTCGGGGAACGATGCTTTATCACCATGGCAGCCTGCAGGAAGCCCTGAAAAACTTCAAGGTGGGCATCCCTAAGTGAGAAAGATCGGTGACCTTGAGTGGGATGAATAGGGAGGAGGGCCAGGAAGAGTGTTTACACCTTAACAAAAAGAAAGAAAACAATTGCCATGTCTTAAAGACTACTTTACAGAGCATGTATTTGGTGCGATTTAGCCTGGAGGGAAAACTTTCCAACTCCAGACTGAAGAATAAAGCACTTAAAGCTCATCTGCGACTGTACTGATACTAATAGAGCATTTTCTCCTTCCGCGTCAGCGGTGTCTGCAGCTCGAACCCTATAATGAGGTGTGCCAGTACATGAAAGGGCTCAGTCATGTTGCCATGGGACAGTTCTATGAAGGAATAAAAGCACAGACTAAAGTCATGCTAAATGATCCTCTCCCGGGCCAGAAGGCTAGCCCAGAGTATCTGAAAGTGAAATATCTCCGAGGTAAGTCACAAAATGGCTCAGTCATTGAATTTTAATGCTCAGAGCTGCAGAAATCATACTGCTTGTCTCTCTTATGTTCCGTAGGAGACAGCTGAGTCTCGAAGACGCGAGGTAGCTTGATCATAGCCTCCACCCCCACCCACACCCCCCGCCTTGGTTAGCGGCAGTACCTGGATTGGATAGGGCCCCTCTTCTATTTTTTTTTAAATATTTTTTATAAGATTTTATTTTTTTATTTGTCAGAGAGAGAGAGCAGGAGCAGGGGGAGTGGCAGGCAGAGGGAGAAGCAGGCTCACTGCTGAGCAAGGAGCCTGATGTGGGACTTGATCCCAGGGCCCTGGGATCATGACCTGAGTTGAAGGCAGACACTTAACTGACAGCCACCCAGGTGTTCCTGGGCCCCTGTCTTCTAAAGATTGGTCCAATACTTTGCCACTGCCTACATATTTTTTCTTTTTTAAGTTAAAAATATTTTACTCAAGTCAGGAAAACCTATTTTGAGCTGGACGTGACAGTCATCTGGCTATCGATGTGTCTCATCACATCTCGTCTAGAGACCTAGGAGTCAGAGGAAAGTAACATTTTCTGAGGTTTTTACTGTTAAATGTAAACTTGGTATCTTTGATCTGTCATTCCTTCATTTCACAATTCTCACATACTTTGGAGACATTCAGTTGGGATGAGGAAGAAAGCCAATCTTTAAGCTATCTTTGGTTTGTCAGAGTCTCACTTTTTCTCTGCCATACGTAATGGCATTTTTTGGTTGTTTTTTTGTTTTGTTTTGTTTCAAATCGATCTTTTAATTGAAGTACAATTAACATTTAATGTTATATTTGATTCAGGCACACAATATAATGGTTCAATAATTCTGTACATTCTCAGTGCTCATCATGATAATATTTTTATTGTTCATGCAGAGCACAAACATTTACTTCCTCTTCTGCTCTTTCCTTTATCATCATTAACCCTCTCATGCCAGTACTGTCCAACTGTAAAAAATTATGAGCCCTGGAGTTGTAAGTTTCTAGTAGCCACAAGAAAAGTAAAAATAATCATGTGGAATTAATTTTAATAATACATTTTATTTGACTTGACATATGCATGATATCAGTTCAACATATAATTAATATGAAAATACTATTCATTAATATCATTAGGTATCTTACATTATTTTTTTGTACCAAGTCTTTGAAATCTGATGTGTATTTTATACTGATAGTACATCTTTATACTTACATCTCAGTTAGGATGTTAAATTTTCATTGGAAATTCTTAATTTGAAGTCTTTTTTCATAAAATTTAAAGTTGAAAGAGTAGATTCATATATGTGAGTTGTTCCAAACATTCTGAAGTTTTCTAATAATTGACTCAAATATCAATTTTTACATTTAGATTAATTAGATTAAAATTTAAAATACAATTTCTCGGTCACTTTGGCCACATTTTATACTTTTATTTTTCTTTTTTGAGAGAGTGTGTGCACAAGCACGAGCAGTGGGGGCGGGAGAAGAGGGAGAGGGAGAAAAAGAATCTCAAGCAGGCTCCATGCCCAGCATGGAACCCGACACGGGGCTCAAACTCACGACCCTGAGATCATGACCTAAGCCAAAACCAGGAGTTGGATGCTTAACCGACTGAGCCACCCAGACACCCCCCACACGGGCCATGTTTTAAGTGTTCACTAGCCAGGTGGCTAGGGGCTGCCTACTGGACAGCATTGCTCCTCACTCTAAATTATGATTTCCTCTTGTTTCCTGGTTTAGTAGAACATGTGAGCTGTAGACTGAAGGAGGGGCACTCCATATCCTGGTATTTTTCTGCACTGCTTCTGTAGAGATAAGCAGCAGTTAGTCAGTTGATGAAATCATATACATAGTTGATTCATATCAGTTGACAGAGAACCAGGCTCTGTCTGACACTGAACTTGGCTTCTCAGATTCTGCAACTAAAAAGTGAGATCTTTGGTGCTGTTCATGGAAAAATGATTAAAACTTAGCTAAAGTGGGACCCAGATTGACTGGCTTATGTTCGATCTTGGTATTTTGAGTTACCCTGTATCATATAATAATAGTGACTTACTACCGTTTGGAGTCTCCATTTAGAATTCTTAGAGTTCTCGGAATTCTTGGAATTAACGCTTTGTTACAAAGTATTTGTATGGCAACCAGCAATAAAAAAGATTTCTTTAGCAATATTTGGGTGTGTCAGATCTCGTCTCCTATCTGCAGAGTATTCTCGATATCTTCACGCACACCTTGATACTCCTCTTACGGAATATAACATTGACGTGGATCTGCCTGGAAGCTTTAAAGACCACTGGGCTAAAAATCTGCCTTTCCTCATAGAAGACTATGAAGAGCAGCCAGGGTTGCAACCCCACATAAAGTAAGTGCTTTAAATGAAAACAACCTTTTTTGCTTTTTTAGACTGAGCTATAAGCTCATCCTGATAACTCTTGCTCAGTAAATGGCATGTTTCTTAGGAATTTATTTTTGGATTTGGTATGTCTGCAGATATTTCTTTTAGTTTATAAGGTACGTTGAAACTTACCTTTGGATATCACCTTTACTTCTAGCCCGATCTTCCTGCTAATTTTATGCAACCTTCAAACTTCAGATGTACTTATTGGCAGTTGTTGATATACATTATTTTTACCGTTTACTTTTAAAACAAATTACTCAAAACCAAAAATTTGAAATTACAGTGCTGGCCAACTACTGTTGCATTATGACTAAAGGGCTATCTGATTACAAAACAATTAGATCTAGGATAGAAATTCCTGGGAGTCTAGCAATGCCTTAAAAATTAAGGAAAATCTGCAAAGATCAATCCCCTCACTATCTAAAAGAAAGAAAACCAGGGGACAGATTCAAACTAGAGTGGTGAATGATAGGCACATTTGAAAGGAAGAAAGTGTCCTGGAGGTGAGGGCATTTAACAGCCAGTGCAATGGAATGCCTTGAGGCATAAGCGAGATGGGTTTGCTGAGCTTTTTTAAGGAGCTAAAGTGGTTCCATATTGGAGGACCATATTCACAGGATCTCAATAAGAGCAAATACAGATCCTGCCTGAGAAGATAGTAGTGCCAGTTTGGGGGTCCAAGTATTCCCACAGATTAAGATCATTAGTATGAGAATCAAAAACCAAGATCACCAAAATCGTATGTGAAAATCAACAGAAATAACAAACAACAGATTTAAACTCTCAAGGACTTCAGATATTGGAATTGTTGAATACTCCAAATGAAATGTTTAAAGAAACTATGAAGAAATCACAAACATGAGCAAGAAATAAGAGATTATTAAAAATGACCAGGCAGATTAAAAATAAATTGGAAGCTTTAGGAATAGAAAATATAATCACTGAAATAAAGAATTCAGTATGTAAGCTAAATAGCAAATTAGACATAACAGGGAAAATTGCAGGAGTGGAAGATAGAGCATTAGGAATTATCTAGAACGTAGCACAGAGAATCCAGGCATTAGAAAACATGAGAGATAGAAGATGTGGAAGATAATAATGTCTAGCATATATCAAGATGAAATCTTGGGAGGAGAGAATGGAGGAGAGGCAATTTTTGAAGACCTAGTGGCTAACAATTTCCCAGAATTAAGGAAATCTAGATCTACAGATTTTTTTAAAAAGCAAGATAAATGGCAAATCCAGACACATCTTAAGTAACAGGAGAACACATAAGGAGAAAAAATTTTTTAAATAGAAAAAAAAATCTTATCACCTACTTAAGGTCAATAATTGGACTGACTGTAAGCCTCTCAACATCAAAATGGCAAAGTGCTGAAAGAAAAACAAACTTTCAACCTAGAATTCTATACCCAACAAAACTGTCTTTTATGAATAAAGACCAAATAAATATATATTCAGATAATAAAAAACTGAACCACCACCTGCCATTCACTAAAGAAACTTCTAAGGCATGTAATTAAAGAAAAAGGCAATTGATCTCAGGCAATATTTGAGATACAAGAAGGAATAATGAGAAAAGAAAAATGGTAAGCATGAGAAATTGGTAAGTCTAAAAGAGCATTGTCTATATAAAATAATATCTGGGGGCTTTATAAAAAGGACAAATAAAATACTGGGCACAATAACAAGTTGAGGGATAGCAAGAATTAAGTATTCTAAGGGAATATGGGTTAAATATTATGTTAAAGCTTTAAGTTATACGTAAATATTTAAAATATCTAGGGTGAGTACTAAAAGTTAGAAACAAAGTGTATAGCTTCTATATTAGTAGCAAAGTCAAAACAAAACAAAACAAAAAAGTTAAATCTAAAATCAACCAGAAAAGGGGGGACTGGAAGGGAGGCATTGAAAAAGTGGTACAAATAAAAAGAAAAAAAATTAGAATAGGTTGAAATAATCCAGACATATTAATAATGACAATATATCTAAATGGACTAAATGTCAAAAGACAGACATAGTTAGATTGGAATGTTTTAAAAATCCAGTTAAATGCTTTTTACAAGGGTCACGTAATGCATAAGGACACAAAAATTTGAAAGTAAAGGTATGGAAAAAGTTCTACTTGGGAAACACTAAAAGAATCCTGATGTAGGTATTAATATTAATAGATTTATTTATTTTTATTTTATTTATTTTATTATTTTTTTATTAACATATAATGTATTATTTGTTTCAGGGGTACAGGTCTGTGATTCTTCAGTCTTACACAATTCACAGCGCTCACCATAGCACATACCCTCCCCAATGTCCATCACCGAGCCACCCCATCCCTCCCACCCCCTCCACTCCACCAACTCTGTTTGTTTCCTGAGATTAAGAGTCTCTTTTGGTTTGTCTCCCTCTCTGGTTTCATCTTGTTTCATTTTTCCCTCCCTTCCCCTATGATCCTCTGTCTTGTTTCTCAAATTCCTCATATCAGTGAGATCATATGATAATTGTCCTTCTCTGATTGACTTATTTCGCTTAGCATAATACCCTCTACTTCCATCTATGTCGTTGCAAATGGCAAGATTTCATTTTTTTGATGGCTACATAATATTCCTCTGTGTGTGTGTGTGTGTGTGTGTGTATGTGTATACCACAGCTTCTTCATCCATTCATCTGTTGATCGACATCTAGGCTCTTTCCATAGTTTGGCTATTGTGGACATTGCTGCTATAAACATTGGGGTGCATGTGCCCCATCGGATCACTACATTTGTATCTTGGGGTAAGTACCCAGTAGTGCAATTGCTGGGTAGTAGGGTAGCTCTATTTTCAACCTCCATACTGTTTTCCAGAGTGGCTGCACCAGCTTGCATTCCCACCAACAGTGTAGGAGGGTTCCCCTTTCTCCACATCCTCACCAACATCTGTCGTTTCCTGACTTGTTAATTTTAGCCATTCTGACTGGTGTGAGGTGGTATCTCACTGAGGTTTTGATTTGTATTTCCATGATGCCAAGTGATGTTGAGCACTTTTTCATGTATCTGTAGGTCATTTGGATATCTTCTTTGCAGAAATGTCTGTTTATGTCTTCTGCCCATTTCTTGATTGGATCATTTGTTCTTTGGGTGTTGAGTTTAATAAGTTCTTTATAGATTTTGGATACTAGCCATTTATCTGATATGTCATTTGCAAATACCTTCTCCCATTCTGTCGGTTGTGTTTTGGTTTTGTTGACTATTTCCTTTACTGTGCAAAAGCTTTTTATCTTGCTGAAGTGCCAAAAGCTCATTTTTGCCCTTGCTTCCCTTGCCATTGGTGATGTTTCTAGGAAGGAGTTGCTGCGGCTGAGGTTGAGGAGGTTGCTGCCTGTGTTCTCCTCTCGGATTTTGATGGATTCCTGTCTCACATTTAGGTCTATCATCCATTTTGAGTCTATTGTTGTGTGTGGTGTAAGGAAATGGTCCAGTTTCATTCTTTTGCATGTGGCTGTCCAATTTTCCCAACACGATTTGTTGAAGAGACTGTCTTTTTTCCACTGCATGTTTTTTCCTGCTTTGTCGAAGATTAGTTGACCACAGAGTTGAGGGTCCATTTCTGGGCTCTCTATTCTGTTCCATTGATCTATGTGTCTGTTTTTGTGCCAGTACCATACTGTTTTGATGATTACAGCTTTGTAATAGAGCTTGAAGTCCAGAATTGCGATGCCACCAGCTTTGATTTTCCTTTTCAACATTCCTCTGGCTATTCGGGTTCTTTTCTGGTTCCATACAAATTTTAGGATTATTTGTTCCATTTCTTTGGAAAAAGTTGATGGTATTTTGATAGGGATTGCATTAAATGTGTAGATTGCTCTAGGTAGCATTGACATCTTCACAATATTTGTTCTTCCGATCCATGAGCATGGAACGTTTTTTCATTTCTTTGTGTCTTCCTCAATTTCTTTCATGAGTTATTCTATAGTTTTCTGAGTACAGATTCTTTGCCACTTTGGTTAGATTTATTCCTAGGTATCTTATGGTTTTGGGTGCAATTGTAAATGAGATCAACTCCTTAATTTCTCTTTCTTCTATCTTATTGTTGATGTATAGAAATGCCACTGACTTTAGTGGGTTGATTTTATATCCTGCCACTTTACTGAATTCCTGTATGAGTTGTAGCAGTTTTGGGGTGGAGTCTTTTGGGTTTTCCACATAAAGTATCATATCATCTGTAAGAGTGAGAGTTTGGTTTCTTCTTTGCCAATTCGGATGCCTTTTATTTCTTTCTGTTGTCTGATTGCTGAGGCTAGGACTTCTAGTACTATGTTGAATAGCAGTGATAATAGTGGACATCCCTGCCATGTTCCTGACCTTAGGGGAAAAGCTCTCAGTTTTTCCCCATTGAGAATGATATTTGCTGTAGGTTTTTCATAGATGGCTTTTATGATATTGAGGTATGTACCCTCTATCCCTACACTGTGAAGAGTTTTAATCAAGAAAGGATGCTGTACTTTGTCAAATGCTTTTTCTGCATCTGCGGAGAGTATCATATGGTTCTTGTTCTATCTTTTATTAATGTATTGTATCACATTGATTTGTGGATGTTGAACCAACCTTGCAGCCAGGAATAAATCCTACTTGGTCGTGGTGAATAAACCTTTTAATGTACTGTTGGATCCTATTGGCTACTATTTTGGTGAGAATTTTTGCATCCATGTTCATCAGGGATATTGGTTTGTAATTCTCCCTTTTGATGGGGTATTTGTCTGGGTTTGGGATCAAGGTAATGCTGGCCTCATACAATGACTTAGGAAGTTTTCCTTCCATTTCTATTTTTTGGAACAGTTTCAGAAGAAAAGGTATTCATTTTTCTTTAAATGTTTGGTAGAATTCCCCTGGGAAGCCATCTGGCCCTGGGCTCTTGTTTGTTGGGAGATTTTTGATGACTGCTTCAGTTTCCTTACTGGTTATGGGTCTGTTCAGGTTTTCTGTTTCT